TGTTAGCTAGCTTGCACGCTGTGTGGTCAATGGTACCTTTATTGTCCCCATTGGGAAGTTGATTTGCAGTCTGTCCATACAGAGAGACAAAAACAAACAACACACACACACAAAGCCCAGAGAAAACAGCCCAAATTATCATCAGAAAAGTGCAGTGTACAATGGCAACAACCCTTATGGTTTAGTATTGTATATTATGTGAGCTAGCATCAACCAAAACAACGATGAGACCTACTCAAAGGTCTCTCAGACTATTGTGTCACATGTCTTCTACAACAATATGTACAAGCCTAATTCCAAAAAACTGTAAATGTCAATCTACATGCGTAAGAAAGCAAATGCAATGATTAGCAAAGGTCATGAACTCACATTTTATTTACAATAGGACAAAAAACACGTTCAGTGTTTAAATCGAGAAAGTGTAGCAAAAAGGGTTATTTTGAGTTTGATCGCAGCATCAAATTTTGTTTCAAAACTAAAGTAAAAGTGATGCAAAAAACATCTAGAGAAATATTTTGCAACTAATAGGTTCATTGAAAAAAAGCATTTTAGTGAGGCAACTTTTCACTGTTGATCTCCGTCATAATAATATCAAAACATTCTCACGGGACAATGCTCAAAATCAGTGTGACACGTCAACAACCTCCAGGGCCTCTGTGCATTAAAATCAGGCATCATTCTATCGTGGGACTTACTTCATGGCTAAGGATCACTTTCTGAAATCACTGCCAGTGAACACTGTTTATCGTTCCAGCCACATATGCAGGTTAAAGTGATTCAGTGCCTTTGCACCACCAGGAATTTACAATATATCAGGTATTTAAAGCAACTCCCATTCCAATGGCGGGTTTTTCAGGGAATATTTTAACATGACAGAATAACATGAGTATCAGTAAAGTTAAATTTGACGTGAAGCAACCAATACAAGCTACAGCTAGCTGTCTAACCGTCCCTGTGATGGCTATTCATAAATCCTTGCTTTGCTTGTTACGTGATGGCTACAATCAGTAGTTTAAAATTAAAGTGTCATATTTAATTTTTAATATCTTTAAACAGTGTTTAATATTATTATGTTTAGCTGGAGTTTTGCCAAGGTGTTGTCACACCCGGTTGGTGCCAAACCAAATATCTTAGATGGGGCCCCTCTAACCACGTTATAAATACGCTGGTGATGTTACATTTAAATGGTCCAACAACAACAACAATTTAAAAAAACAAATGTGTTGACTAGGGATGGGAAGATGGGAAGACTTGGTTCCAGTAGTTCATCCTTATGTGCATGATGCACATTCAATTCAGTTCAATCAGTTTTATTTACACAGCGCCAAATCACAACAACAGTCGCCTCAAGG